TTTCTCTGGATGTGCTGGATTTAGATCCAGATAATTTTTCTCACACCAGCCTACAAAACCGGATTTCCCTCCTGATGTGGTTGTTGGAGTTAGTGGTGTCAGTAATAACTGTGCTGCCAGAGTACTTGATACCTGAACATCTCAGATCTGAGCTGCTACTTGTCCTCTGTGTTGAGGCTGAACAGGAGTGTAGACATGACAGAACATGGTGGCGCCTCGGTGGACGGTGGAGCTGACTGGCTGGAGTCTGGGAGGAAGGCGAGGAAGAAGAGGATGAAGCAGTCAGACGGATATCTAGAATAAAACAAGAATTCACACAAACTGTCATCAAACTAGTAAAACCAAAGCTTACAGAGAGTCAACAAATTACAGGAACACAGTTTCTAGAGCCAATACACATTACAGAGTCCCTGAAGAAGAAAACAAAAAGTCCTCACTGAGTCCAGATGTGATGGTTTGTTTTGGACAGAAAACTTTCTTAGTCCCACTTTTAAACTTCAGTGTTTCCTGTCATGTTGTTTGTGACAAACTACATCCCCCACGTGTCAACATACGAAGACTTCTTTTTTTTTTTTTTAAAGATATTTTTTGGGGGGCTTTTAAGCCTTTAATGTATAGGACAGACAAGTGTGAAGAGGGGGGAGAGAGAGAGGGAGTGACATGCAGCAAAGGGCCACAGGCTGGAGCTGAGCCCGGGCCGCTGCGGCAACAGCCTTGTACATGGGGTGCCTGCTCTGCCACTAAGCCACCGGCACCCCAGCATATGAAGACTTCTGTTGATAAAACAGATAATGGCCACTGATTTTTGTTTTTATTGATGTTTTTATTTGGAATTCCAAAAACACTTAAGATTAAAATTGTAAGAGTCTTCCATTTTTGTTGTGAAATCAATGTCCCAAGAGGCCTCAAAGCAGTACCCCACCCACCCGTCACCAAGAACATGAAGACATTGTCTCTGTATGGAAATTACCTAGGGCCTGGGGCAATTCATTGATGTAATCGCTTACGGAAATACGGAGATTTACATAACATGCATCGGCAATAAAGTACTCTGTGTCCCGTCAAAGCATGGTTTCCTCCAGAGAACAAACTGCAGCTAAAAAATAGCACCCACAAATTGGAAATGACTTATCACAGGAATACAGCTGCTTTGCATGGACTCTGTGCATAGTAGTCACTTAAACTCTCTGCTCAGCTGCTAACATTAGCGCCATGTGTCATCTAACATTGTTGGAGTGTTTCATATTCTCTGCTCACTCAACAGCCATGTAGGAGTAAGAAATTGACTTTAAGGTTACAGACTGTTAGTGTGTTAATTGTTTCAGTTATTTCCTCACACACTAACGCAAAAATACATCTGACAGTGATTATCTGAACTGCATATTACTTCAGTGATGAAAAAAAAAAAAATTCATGTCATATGCATCTTAAGTTCAAAGTCAAGTACTTCAGTTAAAAATACTGATTCTTCAGTCCAGGGAAAGGGTTGCTGTAATATACAGTGATTAAAATAATGTATGTGTCACAGCAGTCCTTTTGAATCTGAGGTCCAGAATGTTTCTGAACAGATATCATACAAGTAGGGTCTATTATTATTATTATTATTATTATTATTATCATGAAAATTACACTTATTTTAAAATATGCCACTATTATGGTTATCGTTTAAGAGAAGACGGTTGGAAAAAAATAAATATTAATGAGACAAGTTTCTGATATTTATTTTTGGGTGAATTGATTGAAATATTAATCGAGTAATGAAAAAAATCTTTAGAATAATCAATAAATTAGTCATCAGATTAGTCGACTAATAGAAAAAATAATCGTTGGATTAATCTATACAAAAATAAAAAATCTTTAGGTGCAGCCCTGAACTTAACAATAGCCTACAAGATGACAATAACTGAGGTGTATATGAGTATATCAATGTAAAGACATACTAATAACAATGAATGGGAAGATGAAAGAGTGTGAACTGAATAAACTGGAATACATAATTTTTGAAAAATGATTTAAAAATTGAAATTAAAAAAGACAGGAAGGGGGGATTAGTCAGGTGGCAAAGTTTGGAAAGAATTAAAATCATTTCTAAAAGAATTCCATTCATGAAAAAACATTTTGCAAAGCTGCCTTTCACTAAAAATCTCATCTTTTCTAACTTAAGAAAAGACATCTCAAAGCCAAAGGGACGTCATAAAGGCCACTGTTTAAATGAATTAACACGAGATGACTGATGTTCCCTGAACTGCAAAAAAAGATTTGGGGAAAAATAAAACAAAAACAGAGAAATCTGTTTTAGCAAAGTGACCCTTTATATGTAGAAACATCTCCCATGTGAACCACAACTAAGAGGCACAATGACATGACTGTAGTCACCATTGTTACATCACCTCACCTTGTTTTTTTTAAGGTGACTCTTCTCACTTAATGTTTCACTAAAATCCTTTGCATGTCGGAGCTGGGCTTTTACTTTGATGGATGCCACCAGAAGTCTATTGTCTTAATGCATTACCTTAAAAAATTATCTAAGACTGTGTGTAACAGAACTCCACTCAGAAACTGTTCAGTTATACAAATACTGCTGTTTCACTGCACAAAACGTCATCCTGAACATCTACTAAAAGAAGTTTTCTGAACTGCACAGAGCTGCTCCTCAATTTAGGGATGCACAATATTGGATTTTTTGCCGATATCCGATACGCCGATACATAACTTATTTGACCAATGACCGATAACCAATACCGATATCTACTACATCCATTTTTTTCCCTATCTGATTTTAAGTGATCAAGTCTCTTCTGTAGTGGAATTAACATCACATGCATACTCTTATCGTGATGGCCCAGCAGCAGATGGAGACATGAAATAGAATGCTTTTCAGTGTATGTACTAGTCATTCATTGTGCAAAATAAGAAAAACCATGTTGGCCAATTCTGATAGCCTTATAGTCAATATTGATACTGATGACGTGCCGATAATATTGTGCAACCCTACTTCAATTTCAGCAAACATACAATCATAGGATAACGAAATAATATTCATACTTTGTGTAACTGTTTTGTTTCAGGCCCACAAACTGTCACTAACATAGAACTCAAACAGGAAAACTGTCAGTCAGGATTCAATCAGACAGACATGTTAAAAAACAACTTTTTCAGAACGAGGTTTGGTGGAGAAAACAGCCAGTTTCTCTCACAGGGTGTTCTGCTCCTCTTCACAGCTTTACCACAGCGGATTTTAAACAGCAGGTTTTGTTGTACGACACAAAACATGTTCTAGAACAGATTTTAGCAATGAAACGATGACAAGAAGTTTGTTTGAGACCTGAAAAGACTGAAACAGCAGCGTTACAACTGACTGTCATCCTGACTTTATCTACGGTTAATGTTTCATTTCATGGACAGAGACTCTCCACCTGACAAACAACACGTAGGCTACAGAATGTTATGTGGGCATGATGTTAGTGAATAAGCTTCAGAGAAGAGGTTTGGATGAATTTAAAGGCGAATGTTTTCGTCTGAAAAATGAGTAGGCCTACTGACTTTGACATTTCGTGATAGATTTTGAGGATACAGTTTCCCTACAAGAAACTTTATCTTTTCTAGACAACATTTGTGGTGGAAATACCGTGTTTCAATAAAGTTTGAGAGCAGAAATGTAAAGTTTACCTCTGAAAATAGAATTTTAATATTTATATTTAGGACATAGTTTCTGCGCAGGGATCTAAACATGTCCACGATGTTTTTAGACATTTGCAATGAGTTGACAGCGGATATGTAAAGTTTACCTCTGAAAACAGAATTTTACATTTAGCGATTATGTTTTGAGGCCACAATTTCTCTAGATGAATCTTACGACGTACATGGGGTTTTCTAGACAACATACAGTCCTAAGGTCAGAAATGGTGACAATATCGAGTTTGAATGAAGTTGGAAACGAAAGAAAAGACTGGGAGCTGAAACAGCAGTGTTACAGCTGACTGTAATCCGGACTTTATTCGTGGACACTTTTTATTTCACAGACAGAAAAACATATGATGAGCACAGACGTTTATCTGGACGCAAGTTTAGTGAATAAACACCGGAAAAGACAAGTTTGGATGAATTTAACGTTATAAATGTCTGCCTCTGAAAACCGAGTCCTGACTTTCACATCTGGCGAGATTCGAAAGACACCGTTTCTCTACAATAATCTGAACATGAACACGGTGTCTTTAGACAAAATACATGGTAAGTGGTGAAAATAACGGCTGAATGAAGTTTGCGAGCAGAAATGTAAAGTTTACCTCTGAAAACACAGCGTCCGGGTCCCGTCGGGTATTTTCTCCCCCACAAAAACAACAGAAAGGTTTTAGATCCACACCTGCCGACAGTAAAGTGATGAAAGATCATATTTGAGCAGGTTTAACTGTAGTTTTGCTCAGATAAACAGAGTTTAAAGAGTTTTTTGGGCAAAGTCTTGCAGAGAGAGCTGCTCCGCTCTGTTGCTCTGCAGCTCTGCGCTCTGCAGCTGCAGTGACTCAGGCCGCCGCGGCGGCGCTGTTTCATCCAAATACAGTCAGATATTATAAAAAATCATATAAAATCATTAATAAATCATTAGAAACCAGGAGAAAAGAGGGGTATAATGAGGAACGCTTCACGAATTTGCGTGTCATCCTTGCGCAGGGGCCATGCTAATCTTCTCTGTATCGTTCCAATTTTAGTATATGTGCTACCGAAGTAACACAACAAAGCCCTGATTCTGGGGGGTATTTAGGGGGCTGTGACCCCGGAGAGGTCCCTGTCATGGTGTAAGAACAAGAAGATGCTGAAAGCAGTGAAAATTGTATTGAGATAGCTTTTAAACATTAATAATAAGAGTGTAGAGAAGTGTGGAGTGTGTGCTGAGAGCTATCTGGGTGTAGTGACCCAGTCTGACCCGGTCAGACCCACCGTAGGTCCTGTCAGCCCTGTTGAAGAACTCAAGGGGCTGATGGGAAATATGCTCAATGAGCCTTTACGTCACACAGCCAGGATTGGTGTGCTACAAGCGAGAGAACAAAAGGCCTACTCACCGCTCCTCCCTCTTCCTGCTGCATTCCTCCCAGAGGCACTTTGACCTCCCCCAGAAACCCCCACTGAGCTCCAGTATCTGCTAACCCTCCCCTGAGCACACACAGAGAGACAGAGAGAGGGACGGGGGAGGAGGGGAGGCACACAGAGACACACAGGCTGAAACACGCTATCTGTTCTAACACTCACGGCAGCAACAACCTCCTCGGCTGAACGCAGACAGTTAGCTGGAGCTACAGCATGGACTCCTGAAGCCGCTCCTCAGCTGCTGGTATTGAAGCCTGAGCAGAAGGACAGAGACAGAAGGATGGAGACCATCAGAAACAAGCCTACAAACAAGAGCTGTATGTGTGTGTTCACGAAGAAGTCAACTCTGAGCAGAAGGAGAGGAAACACCATGGTGTTTACAGCTGAAGCTTCATGTCTGCATCGTGTTGTTCTGTTGCAGGACGGCTGCGGATAAACTCTTCAAAATCTAACAGGGTTTATTTGCCCACATTCTCAAGATTGAAGAGACGGAGGGGAGTGCTGCTTCACCTCATTCACAATCATTTACAGTCAGTCTACCAGTGTTCCCAAAAGCTCCACATTTCACAGTCAAGGTATTTTAGTAAAACAGCCAAGACTGTTTTTAAGTGATTAAACTGTGTTATTTATTTTCACATCTGTGTGGTTCTTTCCTACTTCCTGTTTTCATTCAAAAAATTCCAATGCAGTTTCATAAACTCACCACCAGGTGTCAGCCTTAGACCAGTCTGTGGAGTGGGGGGCGCTGCTGTGCTGAGGTCAGCCGGCAGGACCTGCAGGAAAACGCACACAATTATATCAAATATGAGTCACAACAACTTATCTAAATACACAGCGTAGGTCGGAGCTATCATTCAAAGGTTCCAATGAAGTTTGGAGGAAAACACAAAATAGCCTATAACACGAGTCACAGCAACTTATTTATATGAATGGGTCCCTGATTTGCATTGTTGTCATGTTTACCGATAACAAATCCAGAAACATGCTGTTATATTAAATGAGCGCAAATCGCCGCCGCAGGGTCCATTAATAAAATCTCAGTATGTATTTGTTTTGCTTTTACATAAAGAGTTTTCAATCCTACAAGCACAGATCAAGATTTTTTTAATCAAGACTTTAGACTAGAAAATTCGGCAAACAACCAACACACCAGTGAGCTCTTGCTTTAATTTGATTGTAACTTTTAAAAACAGTTATTACCTCCACCACGTAAGTTGTGTTTTCAGTTCGGTTTATTTGTTTGTTTGTTCGTCTGGACAATCACGGAAAAACTACTGGCCCGATTTTACGAAATTTGGTGGAGGGGTGTAGCATAGGCCAAACCCATTAAATTCCCTAAAACTTGTAAAATACACAGCAGAGAAAGTCGAGGAAATTCAATGCAGTTTGACAAACTCACCAGCAGGTGTCAGTGTATGACCAGCTTGTGCTCTGGCTTCCTCATAGAGAGAGGTGTGTCTGACTGCAGCACCTGCGGAATGAGGGAAACACACAAAACTATTGTGAAACATAAGTCACAACAACGTCCTTGATGTCAATTGTTGTATTGTTTTAGCAATAATTAATCCACGAAATATGTCGTTATATTGTGTGCGTGTAAATTGCCAAACCGTATCCCATTCAGAAAATCTGAAATAATTCCAAATTGACAAACATGAATCAGGATTTTTTAAAATTCAGACTTAAGGCTTTACGTGTAAAGCCGTAAAACTCGGTGTCCACTTCGACCACGACTTTACTAAACATGTTGCTCGATGGAAGTCGCCCATCACTCCGATCAGTCAGCCAATCACACGGCCCATCAATAACTATCAGACTTAAAGTGCAACTTGCAGGTTAAATTTTTTTAAAAAATATATACATAACCTTGTCTGAAAATTACTATATGAGAAGTTAATTCAGAATTGATTATGGTTTACATGACATAAGGGCACAAATTCAGAGGAAAAAGTGTCTCTTTTTAGCCAGTGTTGCCAACTCCTCAGTAAGCAAAGTAGCTATTGGCTGTCCTAAAAGTCGCTAGAAGTCGCTAAATGACGTCATCACTTAATTTGCATAATTGATTGACCGTGTGTGTAACGGACGTGGAGTGCTGTAGGAGAGTGTCTAACGTCGTGGGAGAGACAAAAAGTGAGTGAAAAACACCCTAAATATGTTTAGAGCTACAAATGAACTTTCTTCTGTTGATTCTTTATTCTTTTTTGCCATTGAAATAGGCCATCACTTCTCAAAATAACTTCATGATTTTAATGCTTTGTCTAGACCCACGTGGGTCATTATTTTTTACGAGACCATTAAGTATGTAAATTACTTCAATTGACTGGCACTTTGCAGAGAATACTACAGTTGTTGAGTGTGACATAATCTCCAACAGGCTGTCTTGTGGGTGGCTCTGCTACGCTCACAAACAGAGGGAGCAAACATCGGAGCAGCATTGCCTCATGACAAAATGCCAAAGCGTAAGTCTAGCTTTACAGATGAATACATTAAAAAAAGTCCCCACTTACGGTCCCGGTCGGGACATATGGGAGGCGGAGTGCACTGGGTGCAAACTAGGGTGACCAAACGTCCTCTTTTGCCCGGTCATGTCTTTGTGGGGCGCATGTGTATTATTTACATTATTACATATATTTTGTTAGATTTTCTAATACAGAAGAGGTGTTATTTATATATAACATTATTTCATTTTTTCCACAGTAAGACTTGAAAAGAGAGCTATTACTTTGTTATAGGTTGATTTTATAAAACAGAAGAGGCATTATTTATGTGATTATTTCATTCCGGAGATTATAATTTTAATTTTATTTTTGTACCGTTGATACATGTTAAAGAGAGATTATTTCATGCATAACAAAGAAAATGTTGAAAGCATGTTTTGGAAATAAAAATATGGTCACCCTATTAGACTATCAAATTGAATCAAAAGGCTGTTAAGTAGGGTGGAATTGCTAGCTCTACTTCCAACCCTCCTCTTTTATCTGGGCTTGGGACCGGCAAAGTGATCCAAAAGAGACACTCTGGCAGAGTTACTTTGGTTTTTTTTTTTTAAGGGTTTTTTTTTTTT